ATATTATAAAAACTTGTAAAACTTGTATGGGTGTCTTCCAAGTATGTTTGGTAAATCCTAATATACTGGGTATATTTTCAGCATAGTATAAGTATAAATATACTAGTATATTCCATAAAATGCCTAGTATAGTATACTTAAAATATACTATACCAACAGTATAATATACCGGTATAGTATAGTGGCACCCTTTCTGGTATGCCTTTACACCAACATGCTCGACAATCATGATATTATTGATGGCTTGTAAACAATTTTCCCATCTGAATTCAGCCCAAAAGATTCAATTTTTTCTAATCATGTTTGGAAATCTTTAATACTATAGCAGTTTGTATCCCGATGAACTTCAATATTCAGCAGTCTTTTCAACAATTGGATCAAGAGGTTACTTTTGGTATCTATTATTTCAACTTTTCATTGTAGATGAAACTGATGGGATCTTCAATGATTCATTGAATCAAACGTCAGAAGCTCAATCAAGTTTATTACTCGGTGGATTAGGTCCATACATTCCATTTTGAAATCATTTGTTTTTGACCTATTTAGGTCCTCAAGTTTGGATGTTATTATTAGATTGTACACCTGAACGTAAAAAAGATCAAGTTTGTAGTAGTAGATCATACAAAGTTGTTTTTAATGCTTGTTGTGCTTTACCATCTAATGTGACACATTTGCTCTTTTTACTTGGAATTTTGGTGAGTCTTTTCTTTGATTGTTTAGTAACCTTTTAAAGCTTTTTGAACATATTGACTGAAATTAACTTGCCTTCTGTGATGATGATCCTTTACATCTAGATTGCATATCTGTCAGCCCTAGGTACATATGTATGTACCTAAAGACTAACTTGTAACATATATAACCACTTTCAGACAACTAATTACATGTACATAAAGCTTACAAAACATATGTAACTTGTAAAAAGTCATATACACTTATTAATTACATATACATATACATTTAAAATGATATGTAATATGTAATTATATATCAATTACACCTCATAACTCAGTGTCAAGAGTTAAAAAAGCTTATAGTACATATTACATATAACATGTATATGTAATTAAGTACTATTAGAAATAATCCCAAATAATAATAATAATCAAACCCTAAACCAAAGTAGGGATGTAAACAAATCTCACCACAGTTAGGTTTGGAGAGGAGAGTATATAAACCCCTCCTCTCTCAGCCTTGAGAGATTTCCCCCCAAGCTTTTATTACACAATACTTTTAAGAACAATTAAAAGTTCTATTGAAGTAATTTTCAAGAGTCTTATAAATATAAGACTAGTGATAACTTCACTACTTTAATCTGTTCCCTGATTAAAAGTAAGTAATACCCTTCACCCTTCTCAGGATCCTCTACTTTCCCCAAGTAGAACACTCATAGGTTGGTGGCCATATAATAACCCAAGGTTGGTGACCACAGAACAACCCAGGTTGGTGACCATAGAATAACCCAAGGTTGGTGACCATAAGAACAACCCAGGGTTAGTGACCAAAGAACAACTGGTCTAGTGAACCTTAATCACTCTTTAATCTGTCAACCTGAAGATTAAAGGAAGGACTGGGATCCATCCTTCAATTCTACAAATAGTGTCTCATCTTTACCCTTCCCCTTCTCTCTTTATTTATAGTCTACACTCTTTGTAAATACTTTATATTTGCAATATAATATTATTTACATAAATCATAAGACCCTACTAGCCCATTTAGTGAGCTTTGAGTACTCAAGAGAGTACCCAAGCCTCACAATATCCTCGCATGGTATCTGCTGAATGTTTCTTACAAAATAGATCTAATCCTGTCTTGAAAGCGGCTGACGTGTGGGGATTATTACCTGGCTTTGTAAGTGTTCATTACAATTTTCTCATCTGATTACACCTTGGTGTGTGAAGCAGGAGTAGAAGGACTGAGTGGATCAGACATTGAAAGAGAAGTTAATCTAGAAACAATTGTGGGTGGACGCCATGAGGACGCCAAGATGGTCCCGTTGGCAGAGTGCTCGGAAAATCTGCGAGTTGAGCATTATGAAAGATAAAATGAGCCAAGAAAACAACAAGCAATGGCGAGAGAGGGATTACAGAAGTACAACACAGCTGTATCACTGTCCTTCCAAGCTTCAGCCCAAGTCTTGAGTTGTTCCAACAGACCACCGTTATAGTTTTCTACTGCGCCGTTTAC